CCCCAAAACCCCAAAACCCCAAAACCCCAAAACCCCAAAACCCCATAACATTAAACCGTTGTTGTTAATAATAATTAGCAAAAATGAACAAAGTCCCACAAAATGAAGAAAACTTATCAGATGAATTCCTAGATGAGCATGTTTGAGTCTCTAGTGTTAAAAAATTATCTCACTTGGAAGAAAATATGACAGAGTCCCCATTTCACAGTGAAGTTGCTTTTAATAATTTCCATAAGGCTTCAACTGTAAAGATGGCAAGAGATAGTTCTGATGATCTTTCAATGCAGAAGAAGAGCGCAATGACCTCAATTCCGTTCCATTCTGAGAAAGTGATCTCAGAAATATCACCATGAAAGCACACCCTTCAAGGCGACATCAAAGACTTGCTTCATCAAGTAATGGATATGAGGAAGAGATCTCACTATCATCTTGATGTGCCAGAAAAATTAGAACAGAGAAAAAGGGATGGAAACTCTAGAAGGAAGTCATATGTGAGAGAAGTCACGATGAAGGATATTCAGAAGCCTGACATATCTGATTAATCTTGCTAAATAACTTTTATGAATATTAAAGATGGAGACTTTCTATTCTGTTTCTTAATTTTTGAGATTTTTATGCATTTCAATGGTTTTCATATTTTGGATTAAGTTTCCTTATAAATAACAATATAGAATAATAGTAAAATCGTTTTGAGTATGATAGAATTTCATGTAATAGTAAGGCAAATGAAACTTTGTTGCCCTCTATATTTTTTATAAAATATTTCTAAGTTATTAAACTGCAAAGCCAGAGATGAAGTACTACGCTGGAGGAATAATTATATAAACATGCTAGTGAGTCATTAATTCTCACTATCTCTCTATGGTGCGAACCAATTCTATTCTCTATATTTTCATTTATAATATTTCCAAGTCCATGCATCAAAAAGTACCTATTTCTTAAACATGGTCGACAACCCAATTTGAGGAATCAGCTTTTATTACCAACTTTCAAACCATCACAAAAATTGATCCCATTACAAAACACATGCTTCTTCACATCCAGAACTCTAATCTCACCTAATTCATCCTCAAAAATATTAAAATTGGTCCCCACCTGCTAACATCCATAAGCCTTAAAACTCCACAGAAATCTGAACAAGAATATATAGAGGGAATAATTCAGCAATGAAGCAACAGATAAAATAAGACTAGACTGGGATAATTTTTAAGGATTAAAAATGAAAGAATTGAACTTTTGGTGCAGGATTCATCATACTCTCCTCATAAGGTTATCTTACCATCAATTAGCTCAAAGTCCGCCTGATCTATTTTGTAGTTCATTAAAGCAAGATTATTCTCAACAGAGATTTTCCAACAAGACCATAACTTTAATTTTTAAAGACTCTTTCATACTAATTCAGACCTTATCAGATCAATCTTAGCTTATATTTTTTGTAAATAAACTAACATTCTCCTTTTTAATTTTTAAAGTTTATGCTAAAGCTTGACTTTTCATAAGTTATACAGTTGCTATTGATTAAAATTCATGAATATTAGTTATCAATACTAATAATGAAACCAGGGGTTTTGGGGTTTTGGGGTTTTGGGGTTTTGGGG